GGCCGCCTCTGGTGAGCCAGCCCTCCTTCCTCCTGGGTCCCAAGGAGGCCCTTGGGCCCCGCCACTCTCCCCCCCTACCTCCTGGGCATCGGGCCTCTCCGTTTGGCAGCCTCTGTCCCCGCCCCCAGCCACACCCACTCTGCGGGCTCACGGGCCTCTGGCACCAAACCTCCTCCAGAGGGAGCCGCGGCCCAGGCCGGCTGCCCTCCGACACTCCAGGCACTCCCTGCAGTCCGTGCCGGCTCCACTGTATCTTCACCACCGTCAGCCCCTCCTCAGTTTCAGGGGGATGGTGGGAGGAGCAGGCAGGCGAACACCCCACTCTATGCCCGGGAGGCCACGTTCAGTTCCAGCCCCCCAGTGACCCTGAACCGAGCGGCCCCCTTGCTCTCAGCGTCCCCCAGAAGGACGTGGGGCGTGGAGAGCCACGAGGTGCTCAATCGCTGGCCTTGTGTCCACTCAGGGGCCTTCGATCTCTTCAGTAATTTGAATGGGACAATTAAAGATGACTTTTCTGAATTTGACAACCTCCGAACGTCAAAAAACACAGGTATGTAAAGGTGGGTGGTTCCAGAAAGTTCTGCGCACTTGACCGGCCCAGTTACTGCAGAAATAATAACCGACGTTCAAAGCCCAGCACCTTCACACACTTCCTGTGCGTTTTGATCTTGGAGCCAGAAGTGTGTAATCGCAAGGATCACACCTCACAGTGGACAGTTCTACGCTGAGTGTCCTTTCACCCGCTCCTTGTCCTGGGCCCATGTCTCCTCTCTGGGTCACCTCCCCCTAAGGCTCATGACTGCCCGGCCCCCCCAGCCCAGAGGGGGACCCCCACCTTCAGGTCTAAGCCATGGTTTCCATGCACCTTCATCCTCCCAGCATCCCACTCCCCGAGGGTGCCAGCTTTTCCAGACGGCCGGCTTTGGGCATGCCCCACGCCACCCCCCAGGTCGCGCTCCTGCTCGCCCTTCAGAGCCCCCACCAGGAGACCCACCGTTAAGTCTGCAGGCCCAGCTCTTCCCTGGGTGCCCCTGGCTGGGAGGGGTCAGATGAGGTGCAGAGTGGCCAGGAGGGAGCAGGAGGAGGAGGCCTGGATGCACTCTCCGTGTACCTCGGGGTGGAGCTGGGCGGCCACAGCCTCTCCATGTCAGGGCCGCACCTCATCACACAGCAACTTCTCTTCTCTCTCTCCTCCCTCAGCTTCTCCCTATTCTCCACTCCTCCCTCCACCTCTCTGCCTCTCCCCTGCTGCAGCCATAGGCCTGGCTGGCCTGGTCTAAGGTACGAGCAGCCTGGCCCTCAGCTCAGGGGTCAGAGGCGACGTAGAATGTGCCGCTTCGTGGGGTCTTTCTTTTGCTGCATTCAGAAAGCCACAGGCTCCATGAGTTTCTGGTGCAGGCCAGAGTGCAACCGAACTGTCCTTCCGGCCGCGCTCCGTGAGGGCAGCCCGGCTGGTGGCGGGGCCTCCGTGGACTTGCAGAGCCCGTCCCAGGCATGTTCCTGTCGGAGGAAATTTGGAAAAGCTTATGGGGAGAAAATGAAAATCATCTTTGATTTTTCCCGCCCTCAACCACTGTTTCCTTCCAGTATGTTTTGAGCTCTTAAATACAGTTCGGCTCACACTGTCGGAGTTGAACCCCGCCTCCCACCCCCATTTGATGGAATAATGGATTGAGAACAAGTCCTCATAACGTTAAAATCCTTAAGAAAAGGTTTCTCATCCAGGTAGTATCTCTGTCCCGCTCAGCAGTAATGTCTTTAATCTTTACTTTTGGGAGGACACTAGGTTGGTTGGTTCTGCGGAGGGAAATAATGCTGCAGTGAGCGTGTGCCGCGTGCCCACAGCGCATTACTTCCTGACCGGCTTCTGGGGTGGGCACAGCGCCCTGCACCACATCGCCACCTTGCATCTTGGCCAGCAGCACATGCCCACAGCCTGTCTCCGCACACCCTCTGTTGGCTGGGTTTTTAAAAATAATTTGCTCCCTTCTAGCTGTCAAGAAATTCATGCTCATTGTAGAAAGTTTACTAGTAGAAAACGAAAACATTACAAAAACAAATCGCCCTGCCTCGCCGCCAGCCCAGAATAGCATCTTACGGAGCTTGAAGGACTGAGCTGTAGACTGTTAGTGCCCGCCTCTCATTGGCTGCCAGGAGGGCTCTCTCCTCCTCTGGGCTCTGTCCCTGCACGTGGGCTGGTGACCGGGAGCAGGCCCTCACCTGCCCTGTGGCTGCCTCCAGCTCGGGGCTGTTGGAAACAACCTGCAATGAGCATCCCACCCCCGCAGCCCCACGGGGAGTTGTGGGTCCGGGCACGTCTGCGTGGCTGGGACGTCCCGGGCGGCTGCAGCGTGGGTGCAGGAGCCGCAGGACCTCCCTCCGGCTCACCACGCCTGTGTCTGTCGTTGTCTTGTAGCTGAGGCGGTGGCCTCTCTGCCATCCCAAAAAAGTGGAACTACAAGCCCTGACCCCTTTGAGTCTCAGCCCCTGACTGTGACCGCGAGCAAGCCCAGCAGCGCCCGGAAAACCCCAGAGTCCTTCCTGGGCCCCAACGCGGCCCTGGTGAACCTGGACTCCCTGGTGACCAGGCCAGCCCCGCCGGCCCAGTCCCTCAACCCTTTCCTGGCACCAGGTAAGCGGCTTCCCAGCACTCCCGCAGCTGGCGGCTCCTCCTGAGAAGGGGCTGGTGCGAGGTCTGTCCTCGCCTCCCACCTCGGGGCTGAGGGGGAGTGAAACAGCCCCTTCTTTCTTCCAGTGGAGACCACTGAGCAGCAGCTGCCCCTGACCTGTGCCCCAGCCAGGGAGAGCCTCCAGCGAGCGCCCGCCCGGTGGTGCTACGGGTGGGAGTGCAGTTTGCGGCCCATGTCCCATCAAGTGCAGTGTCACTGGCCCGTAGCTGGGCCATCCTCAGGGACCCAGGGACCCTCACTTCAGCCCTGCTGTGGGTTCTGCCTTCCCTGGGGCTGGGAACACGGCCCTCGCGCCCCTCCATTCATTCTCCCTGAGGCGGGGGGCGGGGCCTGTTTAAAGACCTGCGCTCCACCCTCCACCTCCCTGGGGTACAGGGCAAGCCCCCCCTTGCTTTAGTGCCCCTGCCCCTCCCAAGTGCTCAGGCCCTCAGCCCCCTGCTGCTGACACTCCTCATGCGGACGCCCTGTCCCCTCCCATGGAAGGCACATCTGTCCCTCAGCCCATCCCAGACAACACTCCCCAGAATCCCGGCGGGCCTTGGGCTCCCCAAGGGCAAGAACTTGTCACGTTCAAGGGGTTCAGCGCCTGACCTGCCCCGTGGTGAAGGGATCTGAAGGCTGGACCATGGCCCCTGATGGGAGCCTTTAGAGAAGGACCCAGGACTTAGGGGCAGGGGTTGGGGGCTCTGGGGGGTGTGGGGAGCCTTGGTCCTGCCACCCTGCGTCCTGAGACAGTGAGGAGGCAGTTACCCCTAGGAGGTGACTCCAGGGCCCTTTGCTCCCTGGAGCTAGATCAGAACCCAGTTTCCAAAGCAACACGAGCCCTGTCCCTACCCCAGAAGGGCTCCTGCCACCCCTGCCCAGAGAGCCCGGCGGCCCCGGAGTCCCCCTGGCAGCTGTGGCATCAACGTCTCCTAGGCTTTCAGGGCGGGGCTCGTGGGGGTGGGGAAGAGCTGTGCTGTCTGCAAACAGGTCTGTCTCAGAGGCTGCAGCCAAGGCCCTGCTGGACCGACATCCAGGCCGTGTCGCAGGCCGCACAGGGGCTTGGGCTGTTGTCATTGGTGGGGTCTGGCTCTGACCCTTCTAAGCTGAGCCTCAAGCAAGTCCCTGTCCTGCTCTGGAGTCTCGGTTTGGTCATCTCTCAAGGGTGATCTGCAGAGCCCACCTCCTGGGGTGACTAGCGGGGGGGCTGATGCAGGGATGTCAGGGGTGCCCTCCCAAGCCTGCCCGCCCCAGTGTGTGGGAGCCTTTGTGAGTAGGAGCTGGGCTGCATTGGAGATGCAGTGCCGGCAGCTCCTGCACTTGGGGCAGAATATCAACAGATGTGTTTACTAAAGGGGAAGAGGCTTTCCGACGTGAGGTAAAGTCTGGAAATGCCGGGAAGGACAGAGCTGCGCCAGGCTCTTGACTGCAGGACTTCTCAGAGCCTTTGGAGAAGGGCCCAGCGTGGGGGCTGCCACTCATGCCACACGCTATGGCTCCCGCCTCCCCCTTTGCTCTTCTCCCTCCCAGGCACCCGTTGTCACAGGGCAGTGCCAGCGGTTGGCTGCTGAGGGAGTCCTGGGCCAGCCCTACGGAGGAGCTGGGCCCTCCAGCCTGGCACATTCCTGGCTCTGCCTCCTTTAGGCTTGTGACCTTGGACAAATCGCTTGGCCTCTCCAAGTCAGAGCCTTGGTCTCCTCATGCAAACAGTGGAGATGCGTTCTGTAAGCAGACGCGTCTCCGTGTGCCAGCGGGGCTGCCAGGGGCTCTGCGGCCCAGCAGGAACCGGGCGCACCAGCCCCTGGCCTTGAGGGCGGATGCTGTTCTGACCACCCACTGTCCCTCCTGCTCTCTCCAGGTGCAGCTGCGGCTTCGGGCCCTGTCAACCCATTCCAGGTGAACCAGCCCCAGCCGCTGACGCTGAACCAGCTGCGGGGGAGCCCCGTGCTGGGGACCAGCGTGTCCTTCGGGCCTGGCCCAAGTGTGGAGCCCATGGCTGTGGCCTCCATGACCTCCACAGCCTCACACCCAGCTCTAGGGGCCAGCAGTTCCTCCCTGGCGCCATTGGGCCCTGCCACAATGAACATGGTGGGCAGCGTGGGCATCCCCCCAACGGCAGCTCAGGCTACTGGCACAACCAACCCTTTCCTTCTCTAGTGCCCAGGCCTGGGACCCACCCAGAGCAAATGCCCGAGCGCCTGTGCCCAGGACGCCAGCCGAGACTCACTGCGGAGCCGTGTCAGGGCCGGGGGTCGGTGCCAAAGGGTCGTCTGTACAGCCCCGTCCTCAGGCGTGAGCAGGCGGCGTGCTGAGCCTCAGATCACCTTCTGGCGCCTGCTCACCCTGACCCAGCCCGGGCACCCTCACCTCCCAAGTGCAGGGTCCTGACTCTTGGGGGCCGCCCGGCTCTGCGGGGCCTGGTCAGGGGGCAGCAGTCCTCAGTGTTGCCCTTGCGTTAGCCTCAGCCTGAGGGTCTCGGGGACACAGCCTCGCCCAGGACCTGGGACGGCCGCCTTGTCTTTGCCCTTCGCCCCAGCCCTGCCGGCCCAGGTGTGGTTGGAAGGAAGTGCTGGCTCCATGAGACACGGACCTTTAGGGGAAGTGGTTGTGCATCTTTTTCTTTGACTCGGGTGTGAGTTCAAAGTAAACACCACCTGGGACGACTCGCGTGCAGGCCACTAGAGCGAGCTTTAAACTAACCTGAGCATAACCCTCCACGCGGCTCGAGGCTTGTGTATGTTTGCACACGTTTTGTTTAGTACAGTTTCATATTTGAGTTTGCAGAATTATCTAACAGTCTTTTTTGGCTAATATTTTTATAACGTGGTTCTTATTTAACTGTCTAGTTTTGATAGAATTTACCGAGTCTGACTGAATTAAGATATTGGCACATGTTATGTTAGTAGTTTAAATTCTCTTATTTATGGTTTTAACTCTATAAGAAAATTTAAATAGGAAGAGACAAAAAAAATGCCTTATGGAAAACTAAAGTAAATTCTTTATAGAAAAAAAATTTGAGAGTTTGATTACACTTAAAAGATGTTTATTTAAAAAAACACTACAACAACAAAAAAACTCTAGCCTCCAGTTGCCTTTTCCTTTAATTCCCTTTTTTGGTGAATTACCAAACTGATTAACTTTCAGCCTTTTTGGCTAGATGCTAAGAAAGAACTATTTTTCTTACTGATACACCAGCATCAAGAAAGTTAAAGAAAAAATCTCAAGTTTGAATGTGACTCCCAGTGTTTATCAGCTGATTCCTTTTTGTAACTGAGGGCGTGCATGTTAGCGGGACTTCCGCTCCCAGTGGGAATGTGAGATGGAAGAGACATCTGGGACCACTTGTCTGTGATCTCCTGTCTGATACTCGCTCAGGTGAAGACGGGGGGCGGGGGGAGGCAGAGATGGCCGTTGGTTGGGGGCAGTGGCTCCCCGGAGCTTGTGGCTGAGACGGGGCGGGCGAGGGACCAGGGCTGGCCCTGACTCTGCTAACTCCAGACACACAGCACAGACTTAAAATCCATCATCTCTTATTTTGGAGAAGAAAACAGTGATCCTCACCCAGGATAGGTATTTAACAAACACGCCCGTGTATTACCTCCTCTCCCCTCCTGCCCCTCGCCCAGCCACCACTATAAGAAGTATTAGGTCATAAACTAAGGCCCAGAAAAGATCGGCCTTTCCCTAGGGAAGGGGCGTTCTCCTCACATCCCACCGTGGGTGCCCTAGGCCTGGCCCCAGGGCAGCAGGCCCCCGTGGGCCCTCTGAGCCGGGTGGGCCCTGCCCGGCTGTGGGAGGCATGCAGGCCGCGCCGACTGCCTCTGGGCCCCTCGCGTTTCCTGCTTCCTACTCACAGGGCTGCTCCCAGAGGCTCCTGGGGCTTCAGGCTGGGCCTGGGGAGGGGAGAGGCGGTGGACTGGGGCAGGTGCTTCCCCAGGTGCGGCCTGGCCACCTCCCAGTGCCCCCAGCACGTTGATGCCCCTGCAGTACGGCCCCAGGCCACCCGGACGCCTGCACTGATCATGCCACTGCCAGCCACTGCACACGAGCTGCACACAGGCCCTCGCTCCCTCCTGAGGCTCCGGTTGGGGTCACCCCGTTTCCTCAGCCCCAGGGGCCGGTAGCTGGTTTTGAACTTGTGTCACTATTGATACTTATTTACTGTATAAATATAATTTATCATTTGTATCATGATGCGGTCTCTGGCTGTGTACTTCGCCCTCCCCATCTTTATCCATCCTGTGGCACAGGAGGGGCGGGCAGGCTGTGGAGCCAGGCCCTGCCTGAAGCCCAGTTTGGCCTGCAGTTGACAAGGCCACTGTCCCGATGGCCGGAGAGGGACTGGAGGCGGCCTTCAGGACACTGCTGTGGTCTGCAGGCACGGAGGTGGAGGTGCTGGCCTCGTCTTTCCCCCTCGCTGGGTCTTGGGGGTGCACTCCACTGGGTACTTGCGGGCTTGCTTCATGCCACCAGAGAGCTGCCCCTTCAGAGGCCGCCAGCCAGCCGCACATCCTCAGGGTGACTCACGGCCGCCAGCTTGGTGGCTGGTGCCTTCCAGAACCCGTCGTCGGAGGGAGCACAGCAGGGGGAGCACAGGGGCAGGTGGGGAGGGCACGGGGCAGGCTGCGCTTCTCTTGTGAGGGCCTGGGCCCCAGCCTCTGCTCGGGGCTGCCCGCCACCCACCTTTCCGTGCTGAAGCCCTGGCCTTGGACCCTCAGGGAGCAGGACTTAACAGGGCCCTGGGGCGGGTTTGCAGGGCCTGCAGCAGCTGGGGATCCACTCAGGCAGGTGGGGGGCCCGGGGGGCTCCTGGTGGGCAGCTCTCCAAGCGGTGTCTGGGGACTCCAGCAGCTTCCGTCTGTGCCACCGCCCCTCCCACACAGCAGAGCGGGGGGGTGGGGGACACGACTTCCTCGTCCCCACACCAGGACTGGTCTCGCTTCGGTGCCAGGAAGGAGGAAATGCAGGGTCCTTGTGCCCAGGGGCATCGGAAGTGGGTTCGGTTAGCGTGTGGCCAGTCACATGGCCCTCTAGTGTCACCAAGTACTTATTTCACTGTTTCCCACACACCGATCGCATCCCCTCCCACCGGAGCTGTCCGTGGGCCCCGTCAGTCAGTCACCTGTAGGGCCAGGAGAGAGAATGCATGCTGGTTACGCGGCAGAGTTTTGGGGTAGTTTGTTAGCAGCAGCAGGTACCGAGCACTCACAGCAGTCTTCCCTGGACAGCCTGCTTTCTTCCTGCTGCTCCCCCACGTGTCAGCTCGGTGCCAGCTGCGGGGCATTGGAGCCAGGCGCCCGCGCCCTGCCCAGCCTGGGACTTGCCCAGGGCCGAGTGGCCTACCGGTCAGAAGCCTCACTAGGCCTTTATAGTCAAAGCATGCTTCAGTCTTAGCCCTTCCTGTGTGAGTTCTAGAAGTTTCCTTTTCCAATCTTTTGATAACAAACAGTTTTGGATTCTCTTCATTTCTTGTCACTTCTGCTTGCAAACTGGCCCTTTTGCTGAGCACATCCCTTCGCTGTGGTAGCTTTCAAGTGGCCCCTGCACCTGCCTCCTGCAGCTGCCCTGCCCGGGCTGACGGCTCAGCAGGCAGAGCCTGCCCAGGCGAGCCCGGTGGTCTCCTCCAGTCTGTCCTGCTGTCCACGTTCCGTCCACGTTCTTCCTGCCCGCCCAGCCAATACACATCGGCTGGTTTTGTTTTGGTTACAGCAGAAACTCACTCGGATACCAATTTCCATATCAGAATACAATAGGTGCCACAGGAACCAGTAAGTCCCAGGTTCTTGCTGGCTGACTGCCATGTTTCTCCCTCAAAAAATGCCCAGTGGGAATGTTCTGGCAGCTCCCTCGCCATGTGCCATCTTTACCAGCTGGCCTCGGGGGCCGTGGGAAAGGAAGGGCGAGGGCATCACTCCGGGAGGTTTTAAGTGGGTCAGGTCTCTACGTGGTGAACATCCTTTCAGCCTGTAGTTTCTTCGATGCAGGGCCTGGGAAATGCCGACTTCCCATGAGCCCAGGAGGAGAGGTGGCCTGGGACACAGCCTCGTCACTGGGGACGCATCAACAGCAAGGGGTGGGCGTGGGGGCGTCTGCCTTGGCTGTTCATGGTCACGAGTGGGGAACCTTCTTTCTGCCGAGGGCCATGTGGATATTTATAACATCATTCATGGGCCATACAAATTATCAGCTTAAAAATTAGCCTGCTCTATTTGGTCAGACATTTAATAAACAAACCCCTACTGCCTTGGCAGGGCCAGACCAAATGATTTCTCGGGCCTTAGACAGCCTACGGGCCTGGCGTTCCCACCTCTGGTGTGGCTGGTCACAGATCCCGGCCCACTCCCCCCTCCCCAGGCACAACCACCGAGTCCCTAACCAACACTCTGCTCCTGGCCGCAAAGGCGCGGGGCTCAGGTGAGGGCAACGTTCTGCGCCTGCCGGGCGCGGGCAGGCGTTGCCACAAGTCCGCAGGCAGCACACCTACGTTGTATGCATTTCACGGCATGGAAATGTTCCCTCAAAAGGAGAAACGCCGGAGGACAAACAGCAGGCTCTGGTTGGTGACAAGCAGGCTGGCGTGCGCAGGGGCGTGCCCACGTCTGCAACTTCCTTTGAAATGCACTGAGAACAGGACGGCTCGACGGAGGTGAGCTGGGCAGAGGGAACACACCGGGAAGTATTTCAACTTTTCTATGTTTAAACACTAATAATAAAATGTTGAAAAATAGAAAATTAAACCTAAGAGGGTTAACTGCTGTGTTAAAGGTGCTGACAGACTGGGCTCTGGCAACCTGAGGCTGCACTGGTCAGGTTCTGGGAGTGACAGGGAAGGGCCGACTGGCGGGGCGGGTGCGGAATGGACGGCGAGGGGCAGAGGCGTGGACAGCAGGCGGAGGCCCAGCGCGTGTTCTTTGCGTGGCTTCCATCATAGGACACGCGTAGGGGGGACAGCAGGAGTGGCGCGTGGGGAGGCTGCTGAGTGGCCCTCGAGGAGGCAGGGGCAGGGCCTCGCACACCCTGGGCATCTCTGGCGCAAAGGTTAGTTGGTGCCAGATCGGGGGGAGGTGGGGAGCGATCGTCCCATTTCCTCCTGAGCACTTCAGGTGAGGGCAAGGGAGACTGAGGGTTTGAGAGGAGAAAAGGTGTGAATGAGCTTCCTCAGATGCGAGGGGCTAAGGAAATAGGGGACCGCTTGGCAGCGATGTGAGGGAGGCCTGGCTCTGGACATGGTGCGGGCAGCCCTCGTCTGGATGCTCTGCCCAGGCCCTGGCCCTCAGCAGGCAGCTCTGGGGTCCCCAGGACAAGGTTGGCCGGGCGAGAATAGAGCTGGGGGCAGGGTGGGGCTGAGGGTGGAGCAGGGGCGCCGGCCGGAGTGGACTGCATCTGTCCGCGGGGAGCAAGGCTGAGGTCAAACCCAACTTTGAAGAAGGTCCTGCTAAGAGGGACCTGGCCTGTGGGGGCGGCGGGCTCCCCCGGGCGCTGCAGGAGCTTCTAAAACGCAGCGCCTGCCTGGCCGGGCACTCGCTGCCTCTCCTCCCTCGGGTGCCAAACGGACAACAGCCAACACAACATAGCCGCCTGGGGTGAACCGATAAAAACTATACCTGTTTTTGGGGGGTTTTTTTGTCAGATCAGCAAAAAATATATTTTTTGGTGGCCACAGAATTTTAGTAATTAGTTTCTATGCCATGGGGTGAAAAAGGTTGAAAATCGCTTCTTAAAGACACACACGTCTCCAAGAGTGGCACGGGCCTGGGAGAGCAGAGCCCGCTGCCCCGTGGGCGAGGCCTGCCCGGCAGGCGGCACCGTCTGGGAGCTCCCAGTAGAGCTGAGGAAGGCCCTGCGTTTTAGGGTCTCGCCAAGCCTGGTGCTTTCGTGCTGTTGCCACTTAAATCAGAATGGACGCGTACCCTGAGATGGCCTGCAGCCATGCCCCGCTGTACAGAGGTCATCTGTGCTTCCCTAAACCAGAGCACTCCGGGGTCCCCCTCCCCCTCACCAAGGGCCTGGCAGTGCTGCGTCTGTCACCACGGCGACCTGTGGCCTGCATGTTAGTACCACCCGCACCGGACATCTGGTGACGTGTTGCTCGAGATGGCCCTGGCTTTTTTGTTGGTTGTTAATCCGCACCGAGGATATTTTCCATGGATTTTTAGAGTGGAAGGATGGGGGAGACCGGGAAACAGCGATGTGAGAGACATCAATAGGTTGCTTCTGCATGTGCTCCCCGGCCAGGGCTGGGGATCCAGCCTGCAACCGAGATACGCGCCCTTGACCTGAACGGAACCTGGGACCGTTCAGTCCACAGGCCCGCACGGTACCCACGGACGCACACTGGCCAGGGCAGATCTCTTGTCATCTTTACAATAAACCTGCAGCCTTATTTGAAAGAGAGAGAGTGAGTGTGTCATCGGCTGTGCCTAATGACTGAATTCTAAGTTGGGACAGCAGAGGAAGGAGAGGGCCGACAGTGCACCGCGGGCGGGTGGTGGCCCGAGGACCTGGACGGAGTGGCGGGCTGGAGTGGGGACCACAGGAAAGGAACTGCCCCCCGGGGGGGGGGGGGGGGACGCTTGGAGACACATTTTAGAGAGGATGCCGTCATTGGTCACAAGACACAGGCTCTGACCATGGGTGGCTATTGAGGACACAGGTCAAGTTCACTGCAAGGGAGGAGGCTGAGGAAGACAAGCTGGTCAGTGGCGTTGCCATGACAGCTGGAGGAAGACAAGGCCGTGCCCTCTTTGGTGGACATCAGAGGTGAGGTCCGATGGCCCGGGGTCGGGGAGCTGAGACGGGGAGTAGGAAGTGCTCACAGGGAGCGAGGGCACAAGCCCCATTTCTCAGCCCCTGGTGCCCCCATGGAGCCTGAGGGCTGAGGGTCATGGCCACAGCAGGGCCAGCGGTGGGAGGCACTGTCCCATCAGCAAGGAGGGGTGGGAGCCGCTGCTGACAGGGCTCCAGGCGCAGCGCGTGGGGGCGGGAGGCAGAGTTACCCTCTGGTGCTGAGAGCAGAGGTTGGGGCAGGACAGGGCCGCTCAGCCCAGGGTGTTGGGTGCCGCGTGCACCTCCTCTTGCTGTGAGGCTGGCCAGGGCTGCGGGGCCTCACCCACCTCCTCCTCACAGGATATTCTCCCTGTCGCCAAGGGAGGCTGGTGATGGGAGCATGACAGGGTGACCAGTGCTTCCTGGGGACAGCAGTGAGACAGGCAGGTCCCGCCCGGCTCGGGCCCAGCGGGTGCGGTGCTGCAGGGGCGCGGAGGCAGCCCAGGCCGGGGTTCCATGACAAAGCAACCATTTATTTTATGAAAATATTCCCCCCCCAACCCCACCCCCCAACTACACTGGAGCAGGCAGGTGGATCGGCAGTGGCCGCCTGGCGTTGTGGGAGCCGCTCAGTCTGCAGCTGCTTGGCCAGGCTCACTGGGGGAGGTCCTGGGGCAGGCTGGGCCCCGAGACCCCCTGCATGTCCACAGGCCCAGTGTCGTAGCCCAGCTTCCTCATGTCCTTGGTCACCACGTTGAAGAGGAGAGTGACAAAGCCCTGGGAGCGGACGCGGGTCACTGGGGACAGAGGGGAGCGTCAGCCACCGGGCAGAGCCAGCTGCTCTGGGCCTGTCTCAGTGCTGTCGCCTGGCCCAGCCACAGTGCGCCCTCGCCCCCTCGGAGAAGCGGGGTGCTCGCTGGCCGACCCACCACTGGGAAGTGGAGGGCTGTTTTGGAGCCGGGCAGAGTGGCAGTCTTGTGCTCTGACCAGGCCTGTCTGGGATACACTGAGAACCTGGGCCCCGCCCCACAGCCCCCCGCATTTCCATGCTGTTCCCTGGGCTCCAACCTGTCTGTGGGGTCAGGGGTGGGGTTGGGGGATCAAGCTTTACCTTCCCGGCCTTCACCCTGAGCCACCACCTTGGGGTCCGTGTACTCAGGCCTCCGTCCCATGAACCAGCTGAGAAGACAGGAAGCCAGGTGAGCCGGGGCCCACAAACATACTAAAGTGGGCGCTGCCCTGGCTTCCGAAACCAGCAGCTGCCCCGCCACTAGGGGCAGGCCCTGGGCAGACACGCCCCACCTCCCTCGGCCACCACAGGGGCATCAGAGCTGGCTTGACTGGCCCTGACCCCCACTGAGCCACTACACCCCGCACTACCCCGCTGGGCGGGGCTGCCTGCCCCGGGGGTCACAGGCCTCCCGTGTGGAAGGCGTGAGGTTCCTGAGTCCTGGAGAGGCCGTCCTCAGCCTCCTGGACAGCCGCTGGCCTGCAGGGGGTGGGATCTGCCCAGCCCAGCCACCCTGGCGTCCACCCGTTCGAGGCGCCAGCGCCCACTGGCTGCCAGCTCCACTGCTGGGTGGCGGAGCAGCCGCCCAGTCTGCCCACAGGCTGCGTGGAAGCCCAGTGAGGGGTGCATGGGCTCCCGGCCCCAAGGAAGGGGACGGAGGGAGACGGAGCCCAGGCCCCAGCTGGGGCTGACGGGTGAGTCGCCGCTCTGTGCCTCGGTTTCTCCATCTGAGGAGTGGGGCTCTAACAGCACCCCCCTCAGAGGCAGGGAAGCAGCCCCACGAGCCTGGCATGACCCACGTGGGAACGCAGAGCGAGCGCCACAGCTTCTCTGAGGGTGGTGAGGGCGCTGTGGGCCGGGCGCAAAGCAGGGAAGGGCCGAGCTGGCTGGAGGGCCACGCAGGGGCCAGGTGAAGTGAGCGCTGACCGCAGACGTGCCTCCGCAGGTTCTAAAGCTTCAGGAAACCCTTCCTTGGTGCTGCGTGAAGCCCAGGTTGGAGGGACTGTCACAGGCTGAATCATGGCCCAAGACACAGGTCCTGGTCCCTGGGAATGCGGCCTCGTCTGGAAGGACCCTTGCGCAGGTGACGGGGGAGCTGAGCACGGGCACACTTTGGCCTCCCCTGTGGCCTTCGATGCCACCAGAAATGTCCTCGTGAGAGGCAGAGACTGGAGTGACGTGGCCACGAGCCAGGGCAGGCCACAGCCCAGCAGCTGGCGGGGGGGCGGGGGGCTCCCCCAAGCCTGGACGGTGCGCAGCCCACCGACACCTCACAGCCCAGCAGGGCTGCCTGCATTTCGGGTTCAGAACTGGAGGAAGTAAACCTGCGGTGTTAAGCCAGCAAGGTCGCGGTAGTTTGTCCACGGCGGCCACGGCCACGGCCACGGCCACAGCCATGGGAGAGTGACACTGGGCAGAAGAGAATGCAAACAGCAGGCCAGCGAAGCTGCGGAGGGACAGCGGAGGCCGCGGGAGAGCCAGGCGCTGGAGAAACTGGGGCAGGCAGAGAGGGGACTGGCCACCCGGGTCTCAGGCCTGAGCAAAGGGGGCTGCTGGAGCTGGGCCCACGGTGGCCTCCTGGACCCCTTGTCTGCCTTCACCCCTTAGACCTCTCCCCCGCAGCCTCGCCCAGGCCCGAGCTCCTGCACCGAGGCATCGGGAGGCAAGAGCCTCGACTGTTCTGCGAGCCGAGGCCTGGCCTTCCCAGGGGGCCTCACGAGGAAGCCCGGCCCCCTCGGAGCTGGGCACCCCCGGGCAGGACAGCTGTGGCTCTCACAGCCCTTGACCTTCCTGCGCCCGCTGACGGGCACTGCCCCGCTTCCCCAACAGCCCAGGGGACGGTGCTGTCGCGCCTCCGCCCATCATGGCGGCCTCCCTGAGGGGCCTCTAGGGGCATGAGGCACCCACACTCTCCCTTCCCCAGGCCTCAGAACTCAGCAAGGCCTTCTCAGTCCTGGCCCAATGCTGCCCCTCCGCCCCGGTCTCCCGGCCCAGCC